AAGGAAATGAAAAGCATGAACAAGAGATTAATGAAAGCAAAACTTAAGCATTACAAAAATATAAAAAGAAAGAGCAAGAACATGATCTTGATATGGAAAACAAGATGCCTAAATAAATGAAAAATACCTCCTTTTATAGGCTAAAATTTGAAACTATTCATGTGGTAATTGGTAATTGATAATTGATGGAGTGACTAACTATTGATTAGTGGACTTGGTGGACAACATCACTCAAGCACTTTGGATGGCTAAATTGACATTGATGCAATCCGAATTTGGCAAGGTGTTCTTCATGGAAGTTGTTAAAAATTGTCTTTTCCTTCCACCCACCAAATTTCAAATCATTTGGAGTACTACAGCTCGAGATATGTCTAAAATACTGAATAGTACTGCTGATGGACGTGGTGGATAGCCTTCATGCTCTTGTCTGGATGAAATCTCATTTCTACCATCCGAATTTGAGCTGGTTCTCTTCATAAAAGTTGTTGGAAATTGTCTTTTCCTTCCACCCACCAAATTTTAGATCATTTGGACTTCTAGAACTCTAGTTATGGGTAAAACTCTGAGTAGTGTTTGGGTTGGATTGCAAGACAGATTCAGACTTCTCTTTTATGGCCAAACTTTGAATTTGAAAATGGCAAATTTAGGTCTTTTCAGACCTATGAAAGTTGTAGGCCTATTTCTTTTTTTTTTCCAGCAATATAAATTGATATGAAGTCCAAGATCTATAGCTCTAGATATGATCCGATGATTGAACAATGTTCGCATTTGAAGTAAATCGGCATCTCCTTCGTAAACTTAGCCTTTTCTTTGTCCTTTCACTTTCAATAGTTAATCACAACAATCAATCCTTTGAATTGTGAGAATACCTGCATTTAAAATGAGCATTTACCATAAATTAAAGGTATGCTATATTATCAAAGTTGTTATTATAAAACATGCTCTAGTTAAGGAGTTATTGATGCTTCAAGTGTAAAATGATGATATAAAACCTTAATAAAAATACACTTTTAAGTACTAATCAATACTTCAAGTGCAAATTGAGGATATAAAACCTTGATAAAAATACACTTTTAAGTACCATTCAAATATTTATCTATCTCAAGTGTGTTTTGAAATATAAAGAAAAATACATGACTCCGATTATGAACTTGACTGAGTTGAATAAATTGATTTTATTGCAATTAGTTAAAAAGAAGAAACAAGAATAGATAGATCAAGTTTAAAAAGAAAAGCAATTAAGATAACTTAAGGAAAAAATATATCTTTTAAAAAAGGAACAAACAATGTATTTCAATTTATAACCCCTTAAATACGAAAGAACCAAATGGAGTAAACAAAGAGCATAATAAAACCATCGTAATCAACCCAAGTTAGTATAACAAATTTATAACCCTAGTAATCGGGGTTGAATTAACTCGAGATATCCTACCAAACTTGTGGCTTAAATCATAAGATTGAAATTACCTAATAAAAAATAAAAAGAATTATAAAGCTTTTTTCTTATATAAAAAAATGTTAATTTTTCAAACCCTTTACCTAGGTTATTAGGCTTAAAACACCCTATTTAAAAAAACTATGAAATCTAATTCTCAATCAATTAAATAATAAAAGATGAAATTGAAAATAAATTTCAATTATATAAAAGAATTCAAAAAATAGTAATTAAAAGAATGAGGATCAAAATTAAAATACAAAATAAATTTTATATTTGATTGAAGGATGAAATTGAAAAGAAAAATTAATTTAGCAAAAATACCTAAAACAAATCAAAAGAATGAGAATCAAAATTGATATAACAAATAAAAATAAATTTTTAATTAAATGGTAAAATTGAAAAGAATAATAACTTTTTTCAAAAGGGCTAAGAAAAAAATAGGAATCAAACAATGAGGACCAAATTGAAAAATATAATACCATAAATTTGAATTATAGAATAAAATTAAAAACTAATAAAACTTTTACAAATAGACTAAGAAAAAAAATAGAAATAAAAAGAATAGGGATCAACTTGAAAAAAAAAACAATATATGTCACATTGGAATTGAAGGATGAAATTTCAAACAAATGAAACTTTTACAAAAGGGTTAAAAACAAAAATTAAAAATTAAAATAATAAACTAAAATTGAAATACAAACAATATAGAAGGTAAAGCTATAATTTTCAAGGAAAAAAAAATCTACTTATAACAAACTAAACTATAAACACCAATAATCACTACTCTAGGATAAAGTAGATGTGATGACAAATCTAAAAATACAATGAAAAAATAGTTTTAGACACACCGAATAAGTCGTGCATGCTAATAAAAGTACATGGACGCCTCACACATGCCTTACATGTGCTACTCTTTTTTTTTTTTTAGCCAAATATAACATTGCATCTAAGTTGACTTAATAACAACAAAACACCTATTATAAAAAGATGGAAAAGCTCGTTAACTTAAATTTTATAATTTTTTATTGTAATGATATTTTAATAGTGTCATTATTTTTTAATTATTATTTTTTATATTTATACAAATATCAAATTATTCCTTCATTAATATTATAATAATAAAAAATCATTGTAAAAATATAAAAAAAAAACCCTTCAAGGCCAAGCTTAATTATTTTTTGCTTCATATGATATTTTAATTGTTGTACTATTTTAATTATTTTACTATACAGTTAATATGAAAAAAAAATATTTACTCTCGATAAATTTAATAATAACAAAGGAATCTAACAACTTTAACATCCTTAGTTATTAAACTAGT